CTGCGATCTCACCGCCCTCCGATGTCCGTGTGTGTGTGTTCTGTCTTGTGTGTGCTGTGTGTTGTGCGTCGTGCGTTGTGTGCTGTGTGTTGTGTGCTGTGTGCTGTGGTTTGTGGTGTTTTATGTGTGTGCTGTGTGCTATGCGCTCTGCGTTGTGTGTTGTGGTGGGTGTTGCGTGTTGTCTGGTGTGTGCTGTGTGTTGTGTGTTGTGTGTTCTGTGTTGTGTGTTGTGCGCTGTGTGTGTTGTGTGTTGTGTGTTGTGTTGTGTGTTGTGTGTTGTGCCGTGTGGTGTGTGTGTGTGAGTGCGTGTGTGTGTGTGTCTGTGCGTGCGTGCGTGTGTGCGCGTGTGCGTGCGTGTGCGTGTGTGTGTGTGTGCGTGTGTGCGTGTGCTTGTGTGAATGTGTCAGTCGGTGTCTGTGTGTTAGTGTGTGTGTGTACGTGTATGAGTGTGTGTGTGTGCGTGTGCATGTGTGTCGCTGCGCGCAGGGCCGCGACGCCAGAAAGTGTGTGTGTGTGTGTGTTTGCGTGTGTGCGTGCGCGCGTGCGTGCGTACCTGCATGCGTCTGTGTGCGTGCGTTTGTGCGTGGGTACGTGCGTCTGTGTGCGTTGTATATGATGTGTTTTGTGTGTGTGTGTTGTATGTTGTGTGTTGTGTGTTGTGCTGTGTGTTGTGTGTTATGTGTGTGGGTGTGGTGTGTGCGTGGTTTGTGTGTGTGCGTGTGTGCACGTGTGTATGTGTATGCGCCAACGTGCCTGCGTGCGTGCCTGCATGCCTGCGTGCGTCTGCGTGTGTGCGTGCGTGTGTGTTGTGTGTTGTGTGTTGTGTGTTGTGTGTTGTGTGTTGTGTGTTGGCTGTTGCTTGTGTTGTGTTGTGTGTTGTGTGTTGTTTGTGTATGGTGCGTGTGTGTGTGTGTGCGTGTGTGCGTGTGTGCGTGTGCTCGTGTGTGCGTGTGTGCGTGTGCGTGCGTGTGCGTGCGTGTGCGTGGGTGTGCGTGTTCGTGGTTCGTGCGTGCGTGCGTGTGCGTCCGGGTGCGGGTGCGAGTGCGGGTGCGGGTGCGGGTACGGGTGTGGGTGTGGATGTGAGTGTGGGTGTGGGTGTGGGTGTGGGTCTGGGGATTGGTGTGGGTGGGTGTGTGTGTGCGCATTTGTGTGATTGTGTGTGGCACCGCTTCCTGTGGAACTCCCTATGGGGCCACGAACCGTGTGAGGGGTGCGCCATAATGGGGTGGCGCCGCCATGCCAACGTCGCCACTGGGGCCTTCGAGCTCCCTATGAGGCCACGAAACGTATGAGGGGTGCGCCTAAAAGGGGCGGCGCCGCCATGTGGACCCTGCTACTGGGGCCTTCGGCTGAGATCCCTATGGGGCTACGAACCGCGTGAGGGGTGCACCAAAATGGGGCGGCGCCGCCATATGGACCCTGCAACTGGAGCCTTCGGTGGAGCTCCCTATGGGGCCAAGAACCATTTGAGGGGTGCGCCAAAATGGGGCGGCGCCGCCATGTGGATCCTGCTACTGGGGCCTTCGGTGGAGCACATTATGGGTTCATAAACCGTGTGAGGGGTACGCCAAATGGACCGGCGCCGCCATGTGGACCTTGCCACTGTGGCCCTCGGCTGGTCTCCCTATGAGGCCACGAGACGTTCGAGAGGTGCGCCTACCTTGAGCGGCGCCGCCATGTGGACCCTGCTACTGGGGCCTTCGGCTGAGATCCCTATGGGGCTACGAACCGCGTGAGGGGTGCACCAAAATGGGGCGGCGCCGCCATATGGACCCTGCAACTGGAGCCTTCGGTGGAGCTCCCTATGGGGCCAAGAACCATTTGAGGGGTGCGCCAAAATGGGGCGGCGCCGCCATGTGGATCCTGCTACTGGGGCCTTCGGTGGAGCACATTATGGGTTCATAAACCGTGTGAGGGGTACGCCAAATGGACCGGCGCCGCCATGTGGACCTTGCCACTGTGGCCCTCGGCTGGTCTCCCTATGAGGCCACGAGACGTTCGAGAGGTGCGCCTACCTTGAGCGGCGCCGCCATGTGGACCCTGCTACTGCGCCATTCGTCTGATCTCCCTATGGGGCTACGAACCGCGTGAGGGGTGCGCCAAAATGGGGCGGCGCCGCCATGTGGACCCTGCCGCTGGGGCCTTCGGTGGAGCTCCCTACGGGCCCCCTCGCGTTGCACTGGGTGTGCCGAAACACAAACATTCGGAGGGCAGAGGCAGGGATGGGAGTAGGGAGGGGCGGGAGGAGGAGGTGGGAGGGACGCGGGGCGCTGTCTCTTCCAAACGAGGGCGCAACACCACAGTATGGTTAGGAAAAAAACGTCATGGACATAAACTTTCGGACCTCCGCGCGGACTTCGGAAAAATCGGCGCTGGAGCCCCTCCCCCTGGCGGGAAGAATCCCAGAAATCCGCGCGGAGCTCCGAAAGTTTACGTTTATGCTGTTGTCCATCCTTCGAGAGTCGGGGAGACTCTAGACGCAGGTTTGGGCGACTCGGGTTGCCCTGACGGGACCCCCAGGGAAATGACCCCACGAAAACTGGACCGTCAAAATCCAGGACGGGCCCGTCAAGAAGCGTCGGCAAGTCCGAGTACTGGCGATCTCGAGCCGTACGTTTTCCCCCGAAAGAAAGAGGCGAGCACGAGTGAGGGGCAACGATAGGGGGGACCAGCTCAGGGGGGGGAAACATGGAGCTGAAATCGGCGATGCATCGCCGATAGATCGGCGATGGACCCCCAATAGCGAATTCGAACCCTCCTAAGCGGGGCGCGCATTCGGGCCTCTATCGGGCCTTTCTGCTCATGCAAATTGTTGATCCTCGAGTATCGGCGTCGGCATGCGTTTCCTTCCTCCGAGGCGCCGGGATCCACACGCTCGAGCCCTCCTCCGCGTAGGCCGCGGTGGGCGCCGCGATCGCCGCCGCGCTGAGCGCCGCCGCCGGCACGGTCTGCGCCGCGGGGCGGGACGCCACGGGCGAGGGCACGAAGGCGGCCATCAGGGCGGTGCACGCGAGCAGCACGGACGCGGTCAGGACGGCGGAGCGGGGCGACGCCATTGTGGTGGACTGCCCCAGACCTCTGGCGAAGACTGCCCCGGGGCCCCATCAGGCGGCGGCATCCGAACCCTACCCCCACCAACTATCGCTTCTTCTGGATCTGTGGGAGGCAGGGGTTTGGTTCGGACTTCAGCACGTGTTCGACGAACTCCGAAGCCTGCCCCCGCCGCCCATCGAGTTGCCTGACTCGTTGATCGGCAAGGGTCGGGGTTCGGGTCTCGCCGCCGATTAGACGCCGCATGGGCTCGGAAGGGAACCCTCGGGTGTTTTCGGTTCCGGTCCGGGGCGCTTCTCTCCCATGCTGGTCTCCGGAGGCCAGTCTCGGGCCCCAAGCCCACCGAAGCCCACCTCAGGGCGAAGAGTGGGTCCCATGGGAGGGGGTCGAAGTCGGCCGCTCCCGTGGCCACGGACTGAAAGGAGCACGCCTTCGCAGGTCTGGGTCTTGGCTGCAGCTCGTGGGAGGCTGAGGGGGTGCGCGCTGCGATGCTGAAAACTTGAGCCCAAACAGTTAGCTCCGCACTCTGGAGAACCCATGCACGGGACGCTCGGAAAGCATGCCTTGGAGATGCGCCCGAGTGCCGCAGGCACCGAATATAACGTCCTCAGGTCCCCCGGGATCCTCAATATCGAAAGCGTCTCCAAGGGCCACGGACCCCCAACTGCGGGATCAGAAGGGCGCTCAGGGCCACTTCTGGGCACGGTCGCACGACTTGTCCCGATGCCTTGGAATCGCGATTTGGAATCCGAGCTTACAACATGCCCACACATGGTCCCAGGGGAACCGTTCTGGAGCCGTCTTGAGCGCCTTACGCGCCGTTTTGGGGAGGCTCGGTACCAGCCCAACAGGCTAAAGCCATCGACAGATAAGTTCTCGTTGCATGACTTTCGCGGTCTCGCCTTGTCGGCCTTTAAAGCGTCTAAGACAAACCAGGAGGCCGCCAGCCGCCAGATAGCCCCAAGACAGCCCCAAGAAGGCCAAGAAAGCGGGCACCCGCCAAACGCTGAAAGCCTCCCCTCCAATATGGGCCCAAGACCCCCGAGAGGCCCCCAAGAGAACCCCAAAGGGCCCACTGGAAGCCTCCAAGAGACCCCAAGAAGTGCCCGGGGACGCGTCGTATGATTATCCCTGAGGCCCAGAAGCGTTCTTGGGGGCCCAAACTTCCAGCATGAGATATGGCGGTCCCATGGTCCCGTCCTGGGGCCGTCTTGGGCGCCTCTTTCGCCGTATTTGATGCACTAGGATCCAAATGAAGGCTAAAATCGCTGAAAACGTTGAATGCTCAAGTGATCTCCGAATTCTCTACCGTTCGTTTCGGCCCAGATAGCCCCCAATGTAAGTCCAACGCGGTCCCCGAGGCTCCCAAGAGAGGCCCAAGAGGCCCTCAACAAGGCCCAAAGAGAGGCAAGGAAAGCGCGCCACCACCAGACCAGTGGAAGCATCCCATCCAAGATGAACCAAAGACCTCCGAGAGGCCTCCACGTGGCCTCAAGAAGCCTATCGTAGGCTCACAAGAGGCCCCCAAGAAGCCCCCGAGGAACTCCCCAAGCGACCCCAAGAGGCGTGCAAGAGGCCCCTGGACTACAACCCAGGCATAGTGGCGGGTTGGGCCGAAAGCCACTGGAGATGTTTTATCTGACGCGTGCACCTCGGAAGGAGCAGACGAGCTCCTCTGCAGACGAAGGACAAACCCTTTCAGGCAATCCCTTTCAACGAAACAGAACACTCTAAGGGAGTACGCTTGTGTGCGAGTCCACCGAAAACTAAAAGGTACAAACGCGGACCAGCCTGGGTGGAGGTTCTGGTGCGTTCGATGTTGCTTCGCTGTTGCATCTGACTGGACAGCACTCTGAAGAGCCAAACATTTTCCCCACATACGCGAGTCTTATCAAACTGTCCCGCCCTCAGGGAGGCATCCGACTCACCTCTGATCCTGGAACCTCGGCCTACTTGATCAGCGGGTTGGCGAAGAGCAGCACCAGCGCAATGACGAGCCCGTAGATCGTCAGCGACTCCATGAAGGCGAGGGACAGGAGCAGAACGCCGCGGAGATCGTCGGCGACCTATGGAGGAACAAAAAACTGCAAAGACTAAAACTTTCAGAGCTCCGCGCGGATTTCCCCTATCGACACTGAACCCCCTCCCTGGTGCGCTCCGCGCGCCAGGGGCGGCAAAGGAGGCGCCGCCAGGGGGGCTCCAGCGCCGACCCGAGAAATCCGCGCGGAGCGTCGAGATCGAATCGGATCGGCCGTGCCAGGATACGCGACAGAGTCAGGCAAGCATCGGACAGAATCGAAGCGTCCGACCATCGAAATCGAACCAGATCGAGGCGGGTGAACTCGGTATCGAATCGGATCGATGGAATCGGAACGGGCCCTGCCTCGGGCTGGCGGCTGATGCCGTCGATGCAGCGGCCGGAGGCGATGCCCTGGCCGACGCCCGACCCGATGGCGGCGAGGCCGATGGCGAACCCCGCGCCCACGGCAGACAGCGCCTGGAGTAGCCGAAAGACAATGCGACCAAGCGATAAAAAAAATACTCCGACGGAAGGGCTCCACACGAGAATTGATTCAGCTTGCCCCCCGCTTTTTCCTCTTCACCCTGGCGGAGGCCCTCCTCCCGCCCTCTGTTGCACCTCCTCCTCCTCCTCCTCCTCATCCTCCTCCTCCTCCTCCTCCTCCTCCTCCTCCTCCTCTCCTCCTCCTCCTCTCCTCCTCCTCCTCCTCCTCCTCCTCCTCCCTCTCCTCCTCCTCCTCCCCCTCCTCCTCCTCCTCCTCCCCTCGTCCTCCGTCCTCTCCTTCTCGTCCGCCTCTTTCCACGTCTTCTCCTCCTCGTCCTCCTACTCTTCCTCCTCATCCTCCTCCTCCTCCTCCTCCTCCTCCTCCTCTCCTCCTCCTCCTCCTCCTCCTCCTACTCTTCCTCCTCCTCCTCCTTCTCCTCATCTTCGTCTTGTTCTTCCAACATATCCTCCTCGTCATGCTCCTCCGCCTCCTCCTCCTCCTTCTCCTCCTCCTCTTCCTCCTCCTCCTCGTCCTCCACCTCTTCCTCTCTCCCTCTCCTCATCTCCATCCCGCGGGTTCTCCTCACGCACCGGTCCTTCCTTCTGGCAGGGGCACGCATGTCGATTTTCCTCGGTACTCTCGCCGCCACGGCCAGACGAGGCGCGTTCCCCGATGGCCGGTAGATTTTTCCGATGACCCGCTCGGATTGCCAACGCGAAGCGCGAGCCGCATAGGGAGGAAGCTCCCGCCTGAGACTTCCTCGCAATTCACTCACAAACGAGGCCCCCGCTCGAGAGATGCTCACGATTTGCCCCCTCGGGGTGCTCAAATGCTGTGCCTGCTAAATGATTCCGCTCGGATTCGAACGGGAAATGCAGGCCCCATCGGGCGGGGGCTCCTGCCGGAGACTTCCTCGCAATTCGCTCACAAACGAGGCCCCCGTTTAAGATATCCTCACGATCTTTCCCCGCGGGGTGCTCAAATGCTATGCCTGCAGAATGACTCCGCTCGGATTCAAACATGAAGTGCAGGGCCCATCGGGCAGGGGCTCCCGCCAGAGACTTCCTCGCAATTCACTCAAACGAGGCCCCCGCTCCAGACATCCTTACGATTTGCCCCCTCGGGGTGCTCAAATGCGATGCCTGGTAGATGATTCCAATGACCCGCTCGGATTCGAACATGAAATACGGGCCCCCATCAGAGGGAGGGGGCTTCCGCCAGAGACTTCCTCGCAATTCACTCACAAACGAGGCCCCCGCTCGAGACATCCTTACGATTTGCCCCCTCGGGGTGCTCAAGTGCGATACCTGGTAAATGATTCCGATGGCCCGCTCGGATTTGTGTCATGAGCTGAAGGCCCCATGGGGAGGGGGTTCTGGCTGAGACTTCCTCGCAAGACACTCACATACGAGGTTCCCGCCTGAAACCTTCTCCATACTCAATCTTGAAGAAGCCAAAAAGTGACCACAGTTACAGGGTTCCGATGACCCGCTCGGATCAATAACATGAGCTGCGGGCCCCATAGGGAGGGGGCTCCCGCCTGAGACGTCCTCGCAAGACACTCACAGACGAGGCTCCCGCCTGAGACTTCAGATCTGGTTTACCCCAGAATTGATGTTCTAGCATTCTACGTATTGATCATGGATTCGGCGGGAAGACCAAGTTTGGGGAAAATTGATGATGTAGTCGATCACCTACTCGTGCAGTGAGCACAAATCATGGGGCCTCGGAATGTTCCAAGGGACTTCGGAGGACCTCGGGAGACTTCAAAGGACTGGACCTCGGGGGGGCCTCGGCAGCAAGCTTTGGCCCCGGTGTAACTCCCACAGGTCGCGCAAAGAGGCACAGTCATGCCGATTTGTCTGCTGCGATTCCTCTGCAACTGTGCGCTCCCGCTGGCGTTTCGAGGCATACGTCTGTGAGCATCCGCATCCGTTGGCCTGCATCTATATTACAAGCAAGCGTACTAAAGCAAAATCACGGAAGGGCGCAGGTCATCAGACCCCTTCGACATCATGATTTCCCATCCATATGTGTAAACGTGTTCGCCTTTACGGCAGCAAACACCGTGGATGGGCGAGGATAAGGATCCCCACGGGGCGGACGATGGCGGGAGGGAGGGAGGGAAGGAGAGAGAGGGGGGGCGAGTGGAGCAAACGGTGCAAGCAGTGAGAAAATTGAAAATGAGGCATTGCCTGCGACGGCGCAGGTAACTACCGTCCTGGATAGGACTCAGGTTCTGCCAAGTAACGAGGGAGGGAGCGAGGGAACAGGAGGGAAGGACGAGGGCGAGGCGAGGGAGGCGAGGCAGACAAGAGAGCCAACGTGCGGGCGGAGTTGCCCCCGCCAAGCCTGCCAGGCTCCAGAACATTGCTGGCGCGTCCTCTTGCTGAAGGCACGGCGAGGGGGAGGAGGCAGAGAGGCAACAGGCTGAGCACGGAGCACGGAGCACTCCCGCACGTGCGCAGGGTCCTGCGGGTGAGGCACTGGAGCAGCAGACTGGCGGGGTTCAATCGCACGCCAGAGTGCCCCCGCGCCCGGCAGGCGCTGCCGCAGGCCCGACGGGCGCTGCACGCATGGCTCCTCACTGGTAGCGCGGCGTCCTGGGCGGCGCCCACGTCTCGTCGTCCTCGAAGCCGTCCACCGCAGAGTCATCGTGGTGGTCCCCGAGGCGGAAGCGCTGGAGCACGGCGTAGTCGTCGTTGTCGAGGTCGTCCAGCAAGTGCGCCCACGCGGAGGCCTGGCTGACGTGGGCCAGGCCGAGGCCCGTCGCCTGCCCCGTCGACGTGTCCAGGGTGGCGGGTTGCGGGCCCTGCGCCAAGCCGGGCAGCCCCGCGCCCGCCCGCCCGGCACCGACCGCCGCCGGCACGGCAGGCGTCTCCCGGGGGGCCTCCGCTGGCCCGCCGAGGACGCCTGCCACCAGGCGACGGCTCTCCTTGCGCTCGCACAGCCGCGCGGCCGCGCCCTGCAGCGCGGCCACCGCCTCCTGTAAGACAAAGCTAGGACGAGGATAAAATCAAAGGAGGATTTTTTTCTTCCCCAACGAAATAAAATCGGAGGAGGATAAATCGAGAATCCCTGAGATCTGGCGGCTCTGGAGGATGTCTCGGGCGCCGCGGCCTTCTCAAAGCGTCCTGGAACGCTCTGAGAGCGTTCCAGAAAGCTCTGGCGCGGAGTTATTATCGTCCTGGCCCCGTCCGATCCTGCCTGGTGTGCGGGTGCTCGCAGAGCTCCCTGTAGAGGACGCAGCCGTCCTTCGTGGCGGTCACGTCGACGATGAGGTAGCTCAGGAGAGCCCCCAGGCTCACGACCTGCTCTCCAGAGCCGTGCCTGACGAAGTCCTGCAGGACGAAGACGAGGTGGGTATCCCGGCAGCGCACGTAGGTCGGCAGATTCTGCCACAGGGCACAGCCAATCCAAGACCTCTGCCAATCAGCGTCCGGGTGCTGTATGATGGCCTGGATGGCGTAGTGCGCGAATTCGTGCCTGCACAAGGCGACAGCTTCGCTCAAAACCTCCTTGAAGAGCCATCCGCATTCGAGCCGATTCAAGTGGTACTTGGCGAGCTCCCTGATGATGCGGCAGCCCGTCTTGTGGCGCACGACGAACCCGACCTGGTCCCAGAGCCCACGGATCAGAGCGCACAGCTCCTCGGAGGTCAGCAGATCTCCCTCCTCCACCTGGAACGCCTTCTGGGCCGCGTAGTTGGCGTGATAGTCCACTGCCATCTCCAGGATGCCCTCTGAGAACGCCATCCGAAAGGAAGACCGCCTCGGACCGTCTGCCACCTCCATCGCCCTCTGCACACGCCTAGAGGTCTCCTCCGACTCGAAGGAGAGCGGGAGCGCACGGTTGCAGACCTCGGCGAGCTCGGCATCCAGCAGATGCTCCACGTCCTCCAGCTCGAGCAACCTCCAGAGCACGCGCTTGGCGTGCGGGCTGCCCATCATGTCGAACATGCGCCCCGAGAACCTCGCCGCCAAGCCGCGACGCGTCCCGCCGTCCCCGACCTCCATCGCCCTGACCACGAGCTGGGAGCCCTCCTCCGAGCCGAACGCGAGCGCGATCGCGTGCGCGAGGACGAAGGTGAGCGCGCCGCGGCGTGTCCCCTCGGCCTCGAGGAGCGTGCGCCACCCGCGGCACACCTCGGCGTCGAACGCGGGCGGCGGGGGCGCGCTGCGCGGGCCCCGTGGGAGCTGCCTCTCGCCTCCCATGGCCCCGCGGGCCGCCTGCAGCGCGCGCCGCTGCAGGCAGCCGCCCGGGAGGGCGGCGCCCTCGCCGCCGCCGGGGCCCCCCGCTCGACCCTCGTCGCCGCGCCCGCGCTCCTCCGCCCGCGGCACCGACTCCGCGCCGGCCGGGCCCGCCCGCGGCGCTGCGGCGGTAGCCCCGCCGGCCGCGCCCTCGGCGGCGGCGGCCGTGCCGCGCGGCGCAGCGGGGGGGCCAGCGGGCGCGGGCGGCGCCGACGGGGGCGCGGGCCCGCCCGCGCCGGGCGGGGGCGCCGCGGCTCTGGGCGCGCGCTCGCCGACGCCCGCGGCGGCCTCAGGCGTCGCGGACGGCGCCGTGAACGTGCGCCTCAGAATGAGAAGAAGAACCGCTATGAACATAAACTTTTGACGTCTCCGCGCGGGTTTCTCGGATCCGCGCTGGGCCCCCCGCCCCTGGCGCGCTCCGCACGCCAGAGAGGGGGGTCCAGCGCAGACCCAAGAGATCCGCGCGGAGATGCCAAGAGTTTATGCTCAGGGCGTTTTCTTCTTCTTCGACCTCAGGCTCTGGTGGTCGGGGGCCCAGGACAAGGACACGGTCTTCCTCTGGAGCACGGCGGGCCACTCGTCGAACTCGAGACGCAGCAACTCCTCCAGGCTGCCGGCGCCGCCAGAGGCCGGCGAGGGCGGCGGGCTGGCCGTCGTCGCCGCCGAGAGGACTGGCGATGCAGGGGCGGGTGCGCCGGCCTTCTCCGCGGCGGACATGCCGTGCGCAGCTGGCCAAGCCGTGGAGGCGGCCGCGGGGACCGAGGCGTCGAGTGCTTAGCCCTGACAAAGAATGGCTTGAGCCAAAGGCACAGGCATGCCAGTATCACGGACGCGTGCTGCCAGCTGCCTGCGCTGGGGAGGAGGGCTCCAAGAGAGGCCCTGGAGAGCGAACAGGACCCATCATCCCGAGCCTTTTCCCTGAAGATGGCGCCCAGAGCCCGAAACATTCACCCAAGGGGCTCCAAAGAGCTTCCAAGAGGCACAGAAGGAGCCCCATGTAATTTCCACGACGCTCCAAGAGGCTCCCAAGCCACGGGCACCCCCCGCCAAGATCACCTCCTTCTCAGGCTCTTCCTCCTCCTCCACCTCCTCCTCCTCTTCCTCGACCCTTCTCCATCAGCATCCTCCTTTTCTTCCTCGTCCTCCTCTTCCTCACCCCTGATTATCCTCCTCCTCCTCATCCTCATCCTCCCCCTCCTCCTCCTCCTCCTCATCATCATCATCCTCCTCATCCTCCTCCTCCTCCTCCCTCTCGTCCCCCTCCTTCTCTTCACGCTCGTCCTCCCTCATTTCCTCCTCCTCCTCCTCCTCCTCCTCCTTCTCCTCCTCGGCTTCCCCGCATTCTCACCGTATACTCTTGTTCTTCCACCTCCCCTCCCCCCCTCCTCGAGCCTGCAGAGCGTCGACAGCGGCCGTTTGCGTACAATCAGGCTCCGGTCTTGCGAGCACGCTAGCCGGACGAAGAGTTCCCCAAGATCCCCCCGGGATGGCACCGAGAGCCTCCGAAATGCCACAGCAGCCCTGCAGGAACGCCCGCTGTGCAGAAAAAACACAGTAGGGGTCGGCGGATGTGGTACAAGCCTTTAGAATCCGCCGCCCCCTGCTGATTTATCACAGGGGTGCCTGGCGTGCTGGATCCAAGACGGCTTGGTTCGGGTTCTCTTCCAAAAACTCCCCCTGGGGCTTCGGCCCAGCGCGCCAGCCACCCGGAAGGCCGCCGAAAAACCATCCCTCATGGCCCGAATCGCCTACAAGACGGCCAAGATGACCCAAGATGGCCTTGAAGACGGCCAGTATGGCCCTCGAGGTAGCCCAAGATGGTCCACGATGGCCTCCAAGACGGCCCAAGAGCGTCCAAGATGCCTCCAAGTTTGCCCAAGAAGCCTCCAGGACTGCCCAAGATGGCACCAAGGTGGCCCACAACGGCCCAAGAGGCCCCCAAGAGGTCACCAAGACGGCCCAAGAGGCTTCGAAGAGGTCCTCCAGAAAGGCCCGAAGAGGCCAACATGAATGTTTCTCAGGTGTTCGAAGGATTTGGACGACATGTGCTTCGTTTCGGCCTTCCAACGGCCCGAGACGGCCCAGGAGCCCACAAAGATCGCTCCAAGATCGCTCAAGAGGCCTCCAAGTTGGCCCCAGAACGGCCCAAGAGGCCCCCAAGACGGCCCCAAGAGGGCCCCAAGACGGCCCAAGAGGCCTTCCAAGACGCCCAAGATGGCCTCCAAAACGGCCCTGGAGCACCCCAAGAGGGCCCAAAGTCGGCCCAGAGAGGCCCCCAAGACCGCTTCCGACGGAGTCAGACGGGCCAGGAGGCCACCAAGACGGTCCAAGATGGCTCCAAGTTGGCCCAAGACGGGCCAAAAGGCCCCCAAGAGTTCTCCAAGACGGCCCAAGAGGCCTCCAAGAGGGCCTCCAGGAAGGGCCGAAGGGGCCAAAATCATTGATTTTGCTCAGGTGAATGAAGGATTGGGGCATTTGCTTCTTCTCGGCCTTCCAACGGCCAGAGACGGCCGAAGATCCCACAAAGATCGCGCCAAGATCGCTCAAGAGGCCTCCAAGTTGGCCCCAGAACGGCCCAAGAGGCCCCAAAACGGCCCCAAGAGGGCCCCAAGACGGCCCAAGAGGCCTTCCAAGGCGCCCAAGATGGAGTCCAAAACGGCCCTGGAGCACCCAAAGAGGGCCCAAAGTCGGCCCAGAGAGGCCCCCAAGACCGCTTCCGACGGAGTCAGACGGGCAAGGAGGTCACCAAGACGGCCCAAATTGACTCCAAGATGGCCCAAGACTCCAAGACGGGCCAAGACGACCCCAAGAGATCTTCAAGACGGCCCAAGGGGCCTCAAAGAGGAGGCCAGGAAGGCCCGAAGAGGCCAAAATCATAAATTATGCCCAAGGGATTGAAGGATGTTGGCATTTCCTTTTTCTCGGCCTTCCGACAGCCCCAGATGGTCCAAGAGCCCCCGAAGATCGCCCCAAGATCGCTCAAGAGGCCTCCAAGTTGGCCCCAGAACGGCCCAAGAGGCCCCCAAGACGGCCCCAAGAGGGCCCCAAGAAGGCCCAAGAGGCTTTGCAAGACGCCCAAGATGGCCCCAAGTCGGCCCAAAGAGGCCCCCAAGATGGCTTCCAACGGCGTCGGACGGGCCAGGAATGCCCTAAGACGGCCAACGAGGCCCCCGGGAAGCCCCCAAAGACCCTCAAGAGGCCTAAGGAGGCCCCAAGATGCCTCCAAGAGGCTCCCAGGAAACAAAAAAAGGCCCCAAAAAAGGCCCCAGAGGCTCCCAAGATGCCCCCTCCTCCTCCTCCTCCTCCTCCTCCTCCTCCTCCTCCTCCTCCTCCTCCTCCTCCTCCTCCTCCTCTTCCTCCTCCTCCTCCTCCTTCTTCTCCGCCGCCGCCGCATCCGCCTCCGCCTCCGCCTCCGCCTCCGCCTCCGCCTCCGCCTCCGCCTCCGCCTCCGCCTCCGCCTCCGCCTCCGCCTCCGCCTCCCCCTCCGCCTCCGCCTCCGCCTCCGCCTCCGCCTCCGCTCTCCGCCTCCCCCTCCTCCTCCGCCTCCTCCTCCTCCTCCTCTCCGCCTCTCCTCCTCCTCCTCCTCCTCCTCATCCTCTCCTCCTCCTCCCCTCTTCCTCCTCCTTCCTCTTCTCTCCTTCTTCCCGCCGCCGCCGCCCGCCTCCGCCTCCGCCTCCGCTCGCCTCCGCCTCCGCCTCCGCCTCCAGCCTCCGCCTCCGCCTCCGCCCTCCGCTCCGCCTCCGCCTTCCGCCCGCTCCGCCTCCGCCCTCGCCTCGCCTCGCCTCCGCCTCCGCCTCCGCCTCCTCCTCCTCCTCCTCCTCCCCCTCCTCCTCCTCCTCCTCCTCCTCCTTCCTCCCTCCTCCGCCTCCTCCTCCTCCTCCTCCTCCTCCTCCTCATCTCCTCCCCTCCTCCTCCTCCTCTCTCCTCCTCCTCCTCCTCCTCCTCCTCCTCCTCCTCTCCTCCTCCTCCTCCCCCTCCTCCGCCTCCTCCGCTCCTCCTCCTCTCCTCCTCCTCCTCCTCCTCCTCCTCCTCCTCCTCCTCCCTCCTCTCTCCTCCCCTTCTTCTCCTCTGCCTCCTCCTCCTTCTCCTCCTCCCTCCTCCTCCTCCTCCTCCTATCCTCCTCCTCCTCCTCCTCCTCCTCCTCCTTTCCTCTCCTCCTCCTCCTCCTCCTCCTCCTCCTCCCCTCCTCCTCTCCCCCCCCCCTCCTCCATCCTCCTCCTCTCCTCCCCTCCTCCTCCTCCTCCTCCTCCTCCTCCCTCCTCCTCCTCCTCCTCCTGCCTCTCCTCCTCCTCCTCCTCCTCCTCTCCTCCTCCTTCCTCCTCCTCCCCTCCTCCTCCTCCTACCTCCTCCCGCCATCCTCCCCCAAATGTTCCCGAAGGGTTTCCACAACGGCTGGGGGCACACATGGTCCGATAGCCTGGCAGAGCTCTTGCCACAACGCTCGGCCACATGGGCGATTCCAAAAAGCAGGGGGCGACGGTGCTTCGCCGTGGACGTCTTCGATGTGGATTATCGTCTTGGCCGCTGGCTGCGGACTGGCGGCCTCAACGGCGACGACAGCGGTGAACCGGGAACTCGTCGATTTCACAGCGGGGCGCTGCGACACTCCCCCTCGGCATGACTGACCCTCCTCCTCCTCCTCCCCTTCTTCCTGATCTTCCCCGCCATCCTCCCCCAAATGTTCCCGAAGGGTTTCCACAACGGCTGGGGGCACACATGGTCCGATAGCCTGGCAGAGCTCTTGCCACAACGCTCGGCCACATGGGCGATTCCAAAAAGCAGGGGGCGACGGTGCTTCGCCGTGGACGTCTTCGATGTGGATTATCGTCTTGGCCGCTGGCTGCGGACTGGCGGCCTCAACGGCGACGACAGCGGTGAACCGGGAACTCGTCGATTTCACAGCGGGGCGCTGCGACACTCCCCCTCGGCATGACTGACAGTGGAGGCCAGTCCGCAAGAAACCTGCCACGAGAAGCCAAACCCTGAGACCCCAGGACGTCCACGCATGTTTGATGTGGGAACGTCACGCTTTCCATCGCAAAACCATCAAGCCCAAGAGACCTGGGGCACGCTGGAGGCAAGCAAGGTGTGTCTTGGCATGGGCCCCCACTGCAATCGCTCAGCCACATGAACCCGAAGACACCGATGCCGATGCCACTCTTCCTCGGGAGCTGCAGGAGGTTGTGGACGGGCAGGGGGTGGCCACTACGCGTGGGCAAGTGGCTCCGATCGCCCGTGTTTTCGACGAGATGCCTGGTCGAGTACGGATGGAATGACCACTTCCTGGGCGATCCACGCCCATCTGCCTCCCCCGACCTCCCCGCGCCCCCAGGGGTGCGTTCTGGCCCTGGATCGCGGGGCGACTGCGGCCGCAGCGACGAGGGCCCCCCCCCCAGCGAGGCCCAGCGAAACGAGGACGAGGGAACGGCGTCGGCGTCGGCATTAGGCGTTCCCCTCTCCCTGGCGGGAAGAATCCCAGAAATCCGAGCAGAGCTCCGAAAGTTTACGTATATGCTGTTGTTCCTCCTTCGAGGGTCGGGGAGACGTAAGACTCGGGTTTGGGGGACTCGGATTGCCCTGACGGGGCCGCCAGGGAAATGACGAGACCCAGTTTGAAATGTGACGCGAGTTTCTGCTGCAGGCGCCCCACGAAAACTGGACTGTCAAAATCCAGGAGGGGCCCGTCAAGAAGCGTCAGCAAGTCCGAGTTCTGGCGAACTCGAGTCAGATGTTCCCCTGAGGGAGGGAGAGAGAGAGAGAGGCGAGCACGAGTGAGGGGCAACGATGGGGGTGGACCAGCTCAAGGCGGGGAAGCGTCGAGCGAAAATCGGCGATACATCGCCGATGGATCCACGATGGGCCCCCAATGGATCGGAACACTCCTGGGTTGGGCGGGCATGTGGGCCTCTATCGGCTATCGGGCCTCTATCGGGCCGTTTTGTTTGTGCAGTTGTTTGCTCCTCGAGTACCGGCGTCGGCATACGTTTCCTTCCTCCGAGGCGCCGGGATCCACACGCTCGAGCCCTCCTCCGCGTAGGCCGCGGTGGGCGCCGCGATCGCCGCCGCGCTGAGCGCCGCCGCCGGCACGGTCTGCGCCGCGGGGCGGGACGCCACGGGCGAGGGCACGAAAGCGGCCATCAGGGCGGTGCACGCGAGCAGCACGGACGCGGTCAGGACGGCGGAGCGGGGCGACGCCATTCCGGTGGACTGCCCCAAACCTCTGGCGAAGACTGCCCCGGGGCTCCATCAGGCGGCGACATCCTAGCCTTCTCACCACCAACGATCGACGCTTCTGAACATGGGAGGCAAGGGTAAGGTTCGGATTCCGCCGCGTGTTCGACCAATTCCGAATTTTACTCCCGCCGCCCGTCGATTTGCGCCTGAACCGCTGATCGGCGGAAGTCGGGGTTCGGCTCCCGCCGCCGATCAGACGCCGAACGAGTTCGGAAGGGAACTCTGGGGCGCTGTTGTTTCAGTCTGGGCGGTTCTCTTTCACGCTGGCCTCCAGGGGCTGGTCTCGGGCCCAAGACCGTCGAAGAACTGCTCAGAGTGAAAAGCGGGTCCCATGGGAGGGGGTCGAAGTCGACAACTCCCGTGGCCGCGAACTGAAAAGAGACGACTTCGCAGGTTTGGTTCTTGGCTGCAGCTCGCGAAAGACTGGGAGGTGCGCGCTGCGATGCTGAAAACTTGAGCCCCAAACAATTCATTCCGCACTCTGGACAACACACGCATGGGACGCTCGGAAAGCACGTCTTGGACATGCGCCGGAATGCCGCAGGCACCGAGTAGAACGCCCCCCAGACACATGGACCCCCAAAATTGGATAAGGAAAGAATCGCAAAAGGCCCAAGACCCCAACTACGGGATCAAATGGGCGCTCACGGCCCCGAGGCCTTGGCATCGCAGTTTGGAATCCGAGCTCACAACATGCCCCCATATGGTCCCAGGGGACCGTTCTGGAAGATTAAAACCTGGCGTCGTACCCAACCCCTGCGCAACGCGCAGGCAGAAGGACCCGGTAGATTTGATAGGGAGCGACAACGTGGTAATGAGGTCAACTCTCTGCAAACGTCACATGGGAGGCTCGCCAGCTGCGCGATTCGCAGGACACCGATCGATGGACAAGGGCTCGATGGAGGCGACAAATAAGGCCCCTGGGTCGAAGGGAAAGAGTGGCGAGGACTAAGAGGAGAAGGCGGACAGGGAACTTGAAACATCAGCGGGGCAGCAGCGAGGGAACATAGCAACAGGAAGGAAAGAAGTGTGCGTATAAGGATACGACCGAAGGGTCGATCCTATACCTGAGTCAGTAGGTAAAGGCGAAAGAGAAGGAGGTTAACAACTCCTTTTCCTAGGCGCTGCGCAGAGAGCAGCGCGGTACGTATGCCAATACCTGAGCCGATACGTTAGCGGGATACCAGCTGGCCGCTCTGCGGTTGATCGGGAGTTCCTGTCAATAGAGAAAAGGCGCGTGCGCCTGTGCTCGATGACGATGGTGATAATGAGCGGGTGGCGGTGGTGCGGCGGGTGAGGATCGGGAAAGCGAGGATGAGGAGAATGAAGATCAGGGAGAGTAAAGATCGGGCGGGCGGGGAACACCTGGGGGTCCCTGGGGGTGCGCTGGGGGCCCGTGTGGCGATTTTGCAAGGATGTCTCGAGCGAGGGCGCTGGGTTGGGAAACGCCCGACGCGCTCGGTGCGCCCGGTGCAGCGCCGGAAATGGTCCGTGGGGGTGCGCTGGGGGCCCCGTGGGGCGATTTTGCAAAGACGTCTCGAGCGAGGGCGCTGGGTTGGGAGACGCCCGACGCGCTCGGTGCGCCCGGTGCAGCGCCGGAAATGGTCCGTGGGGGTGCGCTGGGGGACCGTGGGGCGATTTTGCTGCGATGTCTCAAGCAACGGCGCCGGGTTGGGACACGCCCGGCGCGCCCTGTGCGCCCGGTGCAGCGCCAGAAATGATCCCTGGGGGTGCCCTGGGGGCACGTGTGGCGATTTTGCGAGGATGTCTCGAGCGAGGGCGCCTGGTTGGGACACGCCCGGCGCGCCCGGTGCGCCCGGTGCAGCGCCGGAAATGGTCCTTGGGGGTGCCCTGGGGGCACGTGTGGCGATTTTTCGAGGATGTCTCAAACGAGGACGCCGGGTTAGGGCACGCCGGGCGCGCCCGGCGTGCACGGCGCAGCGCCGGAAATGGTCCCTGGAATGGGGGCCCGTGTGGCGATTTTGCGAGGATGTCTCGAGCGAGGGCGCCGGGTTGCGACACGCCCGGCGCGCCCGGTGCGCCGAGTGCAGCGCCGGAAATGGTCCAAGGGGGTGCGCTGGGGGCCCGAGTGGCGATTGTGTAAAGATGTCTCGAACGAGGGCGCCGGGTTGGGACACGCCCGGCGCGCCCGGTGCGCCGGTGCAATCATGGAGGTGCGCCGGGGGGCCCGCGTGGCGATTTTGCAAGGATGTCCTGGAGTGCGCTGGGGGCCCGTGGGGCGATTTTGCAAGGATGTCTCGAGCGAGGGCGCCGGGTTGCGGCACGCCCGACCCGCCCGTCCGGCGCGCCCGGCGCAGCGCCAAAAATGGTTTCTGGAGGTGCGCTGGGGGCCCGTGGAGCGATTCTGCGAACATGTCTGGAGCGAGGGCGCTGGGTTGGGACACGCCCGGCGCGCCTGGCCGGCGCAGCGCCAGAAATGGTCCCCGGAGGCGCGGTTGGAAGCGACTCTCCCGCGCGCCGGGGGCAAGGATGACGCGAGTTCCACAGAAAGTCCCTCGAATGACAGACGTCGATACCAAAGGAAAACCCAATCATAATCTTTTTAGGGCTGTAGGGCTATACGGGCTCTCGGGCGCTATATGGGCTATTGGGCTATATGGCTATATGGGCTATAGGGCCATAGGGCTATAGGGCTATGGGGCACCCCCGGGCACCCGGGCACCCCCAGGCACGCCCGGGCACCCAGGCACCCTGGCACCCCTGGGCACCCGGGCACTTGGGCGTGCAGCGAAAATCGGCGACAAACCTAACCTAACCATATGAATCCGCTAGGACCCCCCTACAGAGGCAAGCTCTGATTGGGGAATCACACACACACACACACACACACCGCACCGAGTCCTGCCAGGTCCACGATGGCCTCGGGCCCACGGGAGACAACGGAAGGGCTCAGGAGCAGAGGTGCGAGGTCCACGCAATACACCGTCATATTTGCCGCACCGCCAAGCGAGGTCGCATCGGCTAGGAAGGGAAGAAAAGGGCCAACCCCGCCACACAGGGTACTTCGGGGAGTCTGCCCGCTACTAGTGGGCCCAAGGTGCGCCCCCCAGAAACGCTTCGGCACACCTGGACGACTCCACGTCACCACGGGTGACGAGGCTGGGAGAGCAAGGGAAAGGAGATCACATGGAAAACATGACTGCATCCTTCGATACAGGTGTCTCCACCGGCGCACGGTGGCATGTGCGCAAAGTATCGTGAATCAGAATGCTATGGATCAGAGTTGTGACGACAATTCGATCAAGGTACAAAAAAGTCTCTCTTTCACGGGGCACTCCAGGCCCCGAATTATTGCCGGGGCTCTCCGGGCCCAAATTCACACGATATTACGATCCAAGTTGCGATGACACTTGATCAACTAGGTATGGTAACATAGACGCTCCAGGCCTCAAAAGTCATGCGACAATGCCAGATAATGTGCTAGCGTCGACGCAAAAAATAGAGCCACTGGGATAATACTACACGTAGGCCGTACTCAGACGCCTTCCCATGAAAGAACATGCACGGGCACAGTTGACAAGATTGTTGGAGGGCGACCTGCCAGGGTGCGTTTATGCCCTGAATCCAAGCCGTCGCAAAATAACGCCATATCCACGAAAATGTAGAGTGGGCAAAAGTGTTATGCAACGCACAGTAAATCTCCAAAGACGCATGGCTCAATGCCAATGAGCAAGAATATACAAAACGATGCACAATCATGAAATTCAAAGCAACAAAACATTTATCGGCCACAGCGTGCGGGAGTGCTCGGGGCCCGCAGCCCCGCCGCTCCAGTCTGCGCCGCCGGGGGCAGGGCCGCCGGGAGACGCCGCGCCCGAAGAGGCAGCGCCCATGGCAGGCCCCATCGCGGCGCGGCGGTGGAGGAGAGGGCGACGGGGTAGAGCGGAGGCTGGCGACCGGAACGATCCCCTTGCCGAAGGGTTTACCCCGCCCCCCTGGCGGTCGCAACAGCGCGATGCCTCTCTCTCTCTCTCTCTCTCTCTCTCTCTGAGCTGCGCCAATGTCACGCGGCGCTGGCCCGACTCGCCGATCCGGAAGGCGCCCGCGCGCACCTTGCACATGTGCTCATCGAAATTGGCAAGGATGTCGGTGCAAACTATTGTGTCCGTCTGACTTTTGGGCGCCCCTGCCCGGGCCAATGTCTCAATCCGCTTGCAGGTGCCCACCGGCGCTCAACTCGCGACCGAGATCACGGAAGGCCCGATCACGGATCGCGCGGGCGCTGTCGGTGGCCAGATCGGCGGAAAAAGAGAGTCGCATCCCTTATCGGTGGTCTGACCTCGGAGATCGCCCATCAGAATGTCTCTGCGAGATAGGCGTGCTGGGGCAGCGGCAGGATGCTCGGCCACGATCTGCTTGGTCTGCTCCACGAGGGCCGTCTCCTCTGCAGCCCTCGTCATCCTGCAGGCCACCATCGCTGTCATCACGGAACACTTCGGCGACTTGTGTCTGGGCGGGGGCGGCAGCGGACGAGGAGTTTCCTGGGCCAGACAAGAGGCCTCAGTCGAAGGGTCCCTCGACATCAATCTCTGCTGATGGGCGCGGAGGATGATTGGCGTCAGACGTGGAAATAAATGCGCCAGGGAGTTGCACGTGCTCAGGGCCGTCGCACGGCCGATCCTGCCACAACGGGAATGTTGACTGAAGATATCCCCGGGGCGACGCATCGGCCGCCGGCGAATCGGCCCACAGCGCGCGCACTGCACAGAGTGTCGGATGACTAGAGCCCCGCGAGCAATTGCGCGAAGGATCTTTGACAACACGCGCACGCAATCGGACGGTGGGACCGAGAGAGAAGGAAAACGAAGGCAGGCGACAGCAGTGACAGGCTCGGCAGTCTTAGCGGTCTCCGTTGTCTTCTCGGTCGTCGGGCTGCGAGCAACGCAAGGCGCGGGGTCAATGGGTGGCCGCGGTCGGCCAGGTAGCGTCGCGTCACGAGGCGG